AATCAGCATAGGAATGTTGAAATATATTCACATACTTTCAATATTGTTTCCACTTTGGTGATCATTTTAAGAAGAAATAGCATACATCAAGATTAAAAAAAAGTAAAATTTATTGAATCTAATTTACACAAAATATCCAACTTATGGATAAAACTACAGCTTGCGAATCACATCCTAAACAGCATCTCATTAATTAATAGTTTCTGGTAAGCAACCTGATCTTTCTTCTATTGAAAAAGCAGTAATTGACAGAAAACCCAACCCTACTTCACATGGCACTTGTATATTAAAAAGTTCTGACACTAGACCAAAAACATAAATCATTACATTTAGTTTTATTTTTTAGCTCACCTGACTGAAAACTGGAACCAATGACTACTAGGTTCAGCATGAAAGTTAGGACTCATGACAAAAGGTGGTCAAAGCACCATTTTTAAGTTGACATGAACATGAGACATGATCAAGATGAAAACCAAATATATTTCTTTTGTCACAGAAATAAGACTTCTCTGTCTTCTTCTCTTTTATGTTTAAATCTTTTTTTTTTTTTTTGAATGCTTTTATTTCAGAAATTCTTTACAACTGAAACATTTACACAGACAAATTTAAAGATATGCTATTTTTCAGATTAAGAATATCAGGGCTTTAGGTGAAGGTAAACAAGAATGATGACAACAACTCTTATTAGGAGATACAGAAAGTGATAAACTAGCAAAATTAAATGCACTGTGCTAAGAAGAATATGTTTATGGAGCGATGGATAGACAAGAGAACTGTTTTGCTAATATCTAAAACAACTTTGAAAATAAGACTTGCTTCCTCATTTTAGCAGATTCCTACAAACTCATGTAGGAACTAGAACTCTATCATGACTACATATTTATAAGCATGTATCTTAACAATACTAAAGGCTTTATCTGTTTCAGTTCAAATAAAAAACGATAGATAGGGGAAAGACAGATATCCACCAAGTAAAGAAAAGAAAAAGACAATTTTTCTTAAGCAGAATATAATGAGTGTAAGGTATAAGGTAGTGAGATAGAAAAAACATCACTTTTAAAAGTACCATAATGAGTTTCTTAGGCTTCTTCATGATCAAAGGTACACTGAAAGGAACTCTGTACATTGAAGTAGAAGAACTGAGTATCAGTTAGACTGATGATCTTGGAAAGTGAAGCACTTTGAACACCTCTTGTCACTGAAATGTACTCCTGGTGATAATTTAAATCTTGCCCTTGGTCTTCCATATCTGCTTCATTTTACTCTGACACACAGTATTGGTAAAATAAAATACATAGTGATAACACCATTTATGTATGGGAGAAGCAAAGACTTGAAATGTAAAAAAATATAGGAAGATCTTACAATCTAAGCAACTATTGGAAATTATATAAAAAACTTGCAAGCCATATTGTTTCATCTTATACTTTTGTCATATAAATATTTCACAAATTCACTTGGCCTTGTTGAGAAAACATTAAAACTTTCAGAAGACTAAAACTACACTGTTAAACATAAAAATGTCACAGTCACTACCATACTTAGGGCTGAATAACTGGAAAGGTGAGGACTGTCAGCGCAGTTTTCCCTAGAGTAAAACTTAAGATTGCCTGTCTATCTGAATCTTTCTACTATAAATAAGTTTTAAATGCTCTTTGAGCCACAGTGGATTTTGCTTAAAACTTGAATACAATTTATAGAAAAAGGAAGGCATTCCATGGAGATTTATTAACGCTCACACAAGAAAGTCTGCTTAGTTTTGGGGATGTACATAATGACAGAGTTGTCCCAGTGGACATTTGTCTTGAAAACCTCCGAAGAATTTATAGTGAAAAATACAGCATGGTTTGGGTTGGAAGAGACTATCGAGATCATCACCCTCCAATCCCTCTACCACAGGCAAAGACACCTCCCATTAGACCCATCCAGACTGGCCCTGAACACCTTACCTCCAGGAAGGGGACACCTACAATCCTCTCTGATTCCTTCTTTTTTCAGGAAATGTAACTTCTGAAGACTGATTGAAATATACAGGTTCAAAGTGACTATTCATTGTTTGCTACTTTCTTACACAAACACTTTCAGAAAACATGGAAGATGAAGTGTAAAAAATAAAGACATCTAAAATTAAATCTTCTATTTTGTGCCTGCCTACATGCTCTGCGTGTACACATAAACAACATTATTTTTTCCAAAACATAATTATGAAAAGGTAAAGACTTTTCGTAACAGATCAATCAGGAGCATTAGTAATGCACTCTTTCATACCTTGTCTCCAACACACTCATGAATTAGTAACCCGCTACTCACATTTATTCAATATAGGTGCTCCCATCATTGTATAAGCTGCTTGTTCTTTTTTTTTTTTTTTTTTTTTTTGTGAGAGGGACACAAAACTTTCTGCTGCTCAGCAAATTCAGTAAGAGAGATGTAAGGGTTTACATACATTTAGGACCAAAAAAAAAATTACAAAAAAATGGTGCAACAAAATAAATTGGAATGTTCCACAAAGAAATCTAGTGCCACTTATTCTCTGGCTAGAGCACCACTCAAAAAAGTAACCATAATCAAAGGAAATCAAATTGTTTTCTGATTAAACTTCCTCTTCTTCGTTTCAGTTCACATACACCTGTTTAGGAGCCCTGAAGTGAAATCCTCAACCAGAAAGTCAGAATATGGAAAAGGTACACACTTGCAGATCAAAGAAATAAAAAAGCCGGAACATCAACTAGATGCTACGTTACAATTCCTTTTCATACACACTATTGTGTGAATCTATGGACCAAGAGATTTGGTATAAATTACATTACAGTGCATTATTAGAAAGCTGGGATCCAGAAGGAAAAACATAGCAAGTGAAGATGTTTGGACATATTGACAATCTTGAAGAATGTGAATGAAGTGTATTTCTAGACAAATTCAGATGATGTTTGAGAAGTTGGGGGTAAATAAAATACTGAATAAAAGATGCCAAGAATAGTTGGAGTTTTCACTTTTCAAAATACATAAAAAATAAAGAGCTTTCTAACTGACAAACGAGTTTATGCTTCTGTGCAAAATACAAACTTCAGGTAATTGGAATAGTTGAGATTGTTCTTCACATTTATTTTCTTTCTGTTAACAGTTAAGTTTTCCTTAATTTTTCCTTAAAGCAGCTTGTACTACCCCTTCTAGAAGACATTAAAGAAAAGCTAGACTAGGTAGATGTCTCATGGCAATTCCTGTTTTAAAAGTGGTATGGTCTCTCCTATTTTGAACAAAACCAGATCTTGCAAGTAATACATGAAAAATGGGGCTTAACACAAAACACTGAAGTGTTATGCAATTACAAGAGCTCATCTCAACTAATTTCCTAAAGAAAAGTTTTAGATTTTTTACTCTTGTTTCAAAATTGATGTAGTTTCCTTCTGAAGCCTCTGAATCTTTGAAGACTGCCTACAGCATGAAGATATTCAACCTTTTGATTTGCCTGGGCCACACACAGTGAAGAGGAATTGTCTTGAGCTGATGTTTTGCTTGTTGCTCAGCGATGGGTGCATACCTGGGGCTGGGCCAGGCCACTCCGTGGGGAAGAGCAGGATGGTGGGACTAATTATTAACTGACCTGGGCCACATGCAGGCCATAGGTTGGACATGCCAGGTCGAGAAGAATACATTCTGCTTCACCACTGATAAGGTACACACTTTTCCACAGCCATACCTTCCTTAAAACACAGGGGTTTAATCTAGAGCTATTAACAATGTTGACACTATTTTATGCATGTTATTGGTCTGCTTAGGTTTTCTTTGGATTTCTCTGTTTTGTCAAGAGGTGTGAAACTCAGTGCAGCTCCTGTTTTGTATTCCTCTTCTGCTCAAGAGTTTTAATGTAATAAGCTCTGAGTTTCTATTTTTAGCCATCAGACAAGTGACAGCTTTTTTAGTTATAAAAAAAAGAAAGGAACTGCATGCAGATATAATTCACTGAATATCTTCTTAAGAAAAGCAGAATAAAGTGAAGCTTAGTATGCTGTCTATCAACATAATTTTGACTCTGTTACAGAGAAGGTGAGTATTGCATAAAACTCTCCGACAGACTAAACCAAAATATTTCTATGGGTGGTTGCCCAAAAATCTTGTTCGCTAACAGAAAAGAATGAGACAGCAGGAAGAAGAATTAGCAGATGCTGGCAAATCATTTTAGCAAGCAGAATAGTCTTCAAGGATCACAAATTAGACAAGGAAGAATGTTATTGTTCACCATCTGCTATGAGTTTATTAGTATGTGTGCATCTGGTACCACAAAAAGATCACCGTGACACGAAGACATGAAGCAAATTCTGGCAGAGCTTTCTTCTGCTGAAAATAATCCTACTGTATGTAGACATTACTGGCCTTGCCACTGGTCAATTCACTTTGTCCTTGATGTATGCAATTCAAGGTTTTTAGAAAGAGTTCACTTTAACAATTAAATGGCATAGTATAATCAGTAAGAAGTGAACAATAATCCCACAAGGTTGGCATTAAAACTTTCTTACTATTAAATTTAGTCTCTTTTTTGTTTCCAAGTGTCAGGCAGCAAATATCTAAGGTTGAGCAAAATTAGTTGGTTTGCAACTTTCTTAAACTGATCAATAATAGAGCAGGGCAAAGAACTGCCCCAGCTCAGGCTAGAAATTTGTACACACCTTTTGTCAGCATAATACTACTTATTTAAAGTTGCTACTCAGTGGCAGGATTACCTATGTTCTTGGGGATACGAAACACATTCAAGGCATTAATGATTTCATAATCATGACTGATATCGCAGGAGCTAACATGAAACTTCAGTAATCAGTAAACACGTTGGTAAACCCACATATTAAATCGTGCAGAAGTGCACAAGGAATAAAGTACTGTCTTGGATTTATCTATTACTGAGAATGATATATCCCTTGCATGCAAACCAATCTCTCTTAGCAGAAGCAGTACATTAATCTGATAGATCATATGTCTGAGCATGGAACTTGCAAGGTACTTACTTTTGGTGTTGGGCAGGATGCAGTGGAGAGACGAGAGGTGGCCTGGGCACGAGGAGATTCTGAAGGGGTAGTGCTGAGTGAGGCTGTATCACGTGGGAGCACCTGAACACCACGAGAAATGATGGAATCTGGAATCTTGAAAGAAGAGAGATGGAATTAAGAGTCAATAATATACTTTATTGAAAAAAGTATAAAATTTCCTCATATGCATTGCTAGCAGCAGTAACATTTAAGTTCTTGTAACTTCAGTAACAAACCCACTACAAATAAGCAAAATCATATCGTAACTGTAGAAGCACAGAAGAAATTATTTGCTCTGAAAGCCTTTGCATACAATACACTACTAAGATGTAACAGTAAGTAACAAGATTGTTTTTTCTCAGCACCCAATCCTTTCAAGTCCAACAATGACCAGCAGTGACTTCTACCATGACGCAGACAGATCTCATTTTTATCTGTTCCAAACAGAAAACCAATCATTAGCAATGACTGATACCATCTGAAGAAATATCATGCAGTAAATAAATTTCTCAGAAAAAATGCCATACAGTGACACTTCATACATTTCATTCCATATACTAAATTATTTATTTCAGGTACACAAATTCTTTATGTAAAATCTGTATTTGAATAACCTGCAGGCCTCTGTGAAGAGACTATAGGCAAAAGCAATAGAAAACTCCATATAGAGTCCATGCTTGTGTTTAAAATGCACTGTGAAGAGAGTTCAATCTTTGTTTTCACATAATATACTTAAGAACTTGATATTTCTAAGAGGAAGATTTTAAGTAACAGATCCTGTAGCTGGTATTATTAACCCACTTAAATAAATGGAGTTACAACAACTTTGAACAATGAGAATACTTTCATTATTCATTAGTAATATGAATAAATCTATCTATGTATTGTTTTAATATTCTGTTTTTTCTGTTCTGTTTTAACATCCGTCACAAAGACTAGAGCTAGAGGACTGCATTTAAGAGTTGACCTTTAACATACTTTGAGTCTTAGAAAGTCTCTTGCTTTTTATTACTGCAGTATTTCGGTCTACCTATGAAGACATCACACCAACTTTATAATAGATTGAATTGCCAGCCTGACATCATGATTCTATTTATTTATTTTGTATAAAATGGTAACACATACAAATGATAACTATCTCAAATAGGAGAACTGTCCTACACACAAAATGCAGCATATATTCTGCTATTAAACACTCTCAGTTTTATTCTGATTTTATTTTCAAGATTTTAACATATTTCTTTTTCAGAGGTAGCACTTCTAACATCAGATTATTACAGCAATTTAATTTTCCATCACAACATAAAAGAAAATGTAAAAGAATAACTCCAAATTCAGATTTTTTAAGGAGTATGTATATAGACACATATTTTATGATTTCTGTACTCATTAAGAATTTATTACTTTAGCTTGACATTCAAGTTCCAAAAGAACCACCTAAAATGCAACTGGGGGAAATGGCAGTAGTGAACAGTAGAAGAAAATGAGAAATGTGACAAGCCAAACCACTTACTTTAACCAAATCCAGCTAGAATTCTCTGCAATCTTTTTTTAAATGGATATGCTTTAACTAGCTTGCATCTAGGCATTTCTGAGCATTCTTGCCTAGTATGGCTTTAAGGCAAACAGAATGCTCTAGAAAACATTTCCTCCCAGGATTCCTTGTCCCAGAGTCATCTCACATTACCGATTCGTGGAGACAAAGCATGATACTGAAAGAGGAGTAAAATGAAATAGACATGTACTCCTAGGAAAAGCATGGGATGTTCTTAATGGTCTACTGATTTTGTATACTAAATGACATACCAAAGCTGTTCCAATTGGGAAGTTACAGTATCTTTGACATATGCCTCAGGAACTTGCACAGACCTTGGTAACACTGGCAAACAAATTGTCTTCCCTCAGACATAGGACTGATATTACAATAATTTAAAATTTAATGAAACATGATTTGTCTACAAATTTACTCATACCCTCACACTTTTTCAGGCTGTAGTTAAGTAGGAGATGTTCATGTTATATTCCTGTTGAATGGCCTGTTGAAATGGCCAATCTTAAGGCTCAACTCACTAAATAATCCTTTTTTATGTCATTTTTGTTTCCTTAGCTTCCTTTATTCACAACTATGAATAACAACTACATCTAGTTTAGCAACCTTAACTTAGAGACATTGGCTTGTATCTTGTGGATTGTTCTGAACATAAACTCTTCTCCGTATGTTAGACTTTCTTGAGTTCGCAACTTAAGTTTTATGGCAACAGATTTTCTTCTCAGTATACTACCAGCTGCCTGCTGCTGTGTTTCTAGACTGAGAGTATTTTTTGCCAGTCAATTTCTGTCGGTATTTTAAAAATTTCTTCAGAAGTTCTTTCAGTACTTAGTAATTTGTGCTGCAATTTTCACTTCAAAATTACAAAACAGTTTCTTTTCACTATGGAAGGTTATGCTTGGGATTGCTTCTGCTCAGAAACAGTATCAAACTGACCTCAACTTGCAGTAGTCTAAATTGCAACTAAGATCTTAGATATGTAGTATAAGCAGGAGAAAAAGACACTATGCTATTCTTATCAGACAAACTGTATTCAGAAGCACAATCTCCTTTCTGTTCTCTTTCATCTGCAATTCTATTTGAAATAAGTTAAATATGCAAAAAAGGTTGGCAACTCTTAGTTTTATAGTGGCATAACTCCAACACTATATACAACTTTTAATACTTCCTTTTAATCTCAATGTTTTATCAAACCCCTAAATTTTGACAATTTTTGTTGGAGAGGGTCCAGAGGAGATCCACGAAGATGATCAGGGGACTTGAGCATCTCTCCTGTGAAGACAGGCTGAGGGAGCTGGGCTTGTTCAGCCTGAAGAAAAGAAGGCTGCAGGGTGACCTCACTGCAGCCTTTCAATACCTGAAGGGAGCCTACAAACAGGAGGGGTATCAACTCTTCAAAAGGGTTGATAACTGCAGGACAAGGGGAAATGGTTTTACGTTGAGGGAGGGGAAATTTAGGTTGGATGTCAGGGAAGTTCTTTACAGAGGGAGTGGTGAGGTGCTGGAACAGGCTGCCCAGAGAGGTTGTGGATGCCCTGTCCCTAGAGGTGTTCAAGGCCAGATTGGATGGGGCCCTGGGCAGCCTGGTTTAGCATTAAACATGGAGGTTGGTGGCGCTGCCTGTGGCAGGGGGGTTGGAGATTCATGATCCTTGAGGTCCCTTCCAACCCTGGCCATTCTGTGATTCTGTGACAAAGGCATAGAACAGAAAATTTATAAAAGAAGGGATAGTTTTAAATCTTAAAAAAAGTACCATTTAAAAATTTTTTTTTTCTCTTCTCTGCTAAAGGGATGCATGCATCTTGACAGAGTTGGGTGTGGGCCAATGGGCCTATTATATCCTTCACATGCTTCAGGATAACACAATACAGACACAATATAACATATTACAAATGACATCACGATCCATTTCTCCCTGGAGTTAACTCTGGCTGCTCTAGAATAATTGGATATCTCTCATTGTCTCATTTCCTTCAACCAAGTGATCTACTTTTTTATCCATCAATTTCAGCTGCCAAAATTTTATCTGGAACCACCTTTTTAAGAATAAAAAGAAAATAAAAGTTATGTGAGACTTTTTCAGTCTCCATTGAAATGCACATGCAGTACTAACGGTTGGAACGGTTGGACTGGATGATCTTTTAGGCCTTTAGCAACCTTGGTGATTCTATGATTCTATAATTTTTTGCTTGTGGAAAAATCAAAATTTAGTTGAAATATCAGGTAGGACATTAATCAGCAAAGGAAGCTACAGACAGATTGAAGATGATTACAGGAATTACTTTTCAATGGGGATTATTTCCTAATCACTATCTTTGCTGAAAATAAAATTTGTCATAAAACTATATATAAACCCATCTAGAACTGTTAAATTCCAGCTTGCTAGCTTTCAAAATTACAAAATCTTAATGAGTGATTTAGGTTAGCTTGCAGTTAAAAATGTTGCTCCCAGGAGATCTGTTTCTCTACTGTGACAGCAGAATTTGTTGTCTAGCTAAAAAAGATTCTCTTTAACCACCATTACCTGCTGACTGCAGTTACTAATACAAAAGTGTAAATTGCATCAACATAAATACATAAAACAATATAAAGCACATACATTGCTCATTAATAGGACATCAAAATGTAACCGATATTTTTATGCATACATGTTATATAAGATGGGGAATGCTTAATTTAATGACATTTAGCAAGTTTTTGTTTTTGTTTTGTTTTGTTTTTTTAAATAGATTTGGGTAATCTGCATATCTAGTAAAGGCAGCATTTTATTAATGCTGTTAGAGAGATTGATCAGCCAAAGAGATTTTTGTGTTTTCTGCAAAAATGAAAGGCAGAAATAATAGTAATGAAATATTAGTTTTTTCATGGAGTCACGCTCTGAGTGTTTATGTCATCTTTATCTAAATATTTTCAATTCATTTTCAAACAAATTTAATAAAGGATAGATGTCTCAAAACTCTGAATGGGGATACTCTTTAAATGGGGTATGATAAAACTGAAGTTGGGTAAAAATGGTTGCTGCTTATAGCTAGAGTGGTAGAACTTGTAACATACTGATGGAAAAAGAAATGAATGAGAAATGGTGGACAGAGAAAGATATTCACTATGTCTCTCATTAATTTCAAATTTTCATCTGATACCATCTTTTCCAAAAGTAGTTTTACATTGGTTTAAATGCCTTCACGTTTCCTAAATGACTTTTCGAGAGATATGGCCATCATGTTTTATATACAGAGGCATTGCACTGCTTGATTGATTTAAATTAGTTTGATTGGTGATTTAAATTACTATTTGCTTAAGGGTTGAGAAAGTGTAGACTCTGATAAACAGAACTAATGATTTAATGTTAAGAATTTACACTTATTTTGCAGGCAGATAGGGTGGATGGTAGAATGGCATAACTGCTAGGGCAACTGCTTTCCTCAAACTCATCTAACTTGTAATTATAAATATGGTAAATTATATTTAATCCCTAATGATACTAGGAGCCATTACTCTATCTTGATTCAAGTTCAGACTCAACCTTCGGTAGTGATTCCTACCAATCACTGAAGTAGTTGCCTACTATTCACAAAAATCCAGAAATTTATAATTTTTGAATCTACTGTACCTGACTTCAGTTTTTTACTGCTTTTGAAAAATTCTAATTCTAAACAAAACACAATAATAACATAGAAACTAAGCAATGAAAACACTGACAATCTTGTACTATGTTGACAAACAAGCTTTTGAGAGAAAGAAGCAAAGCAAGTTAAATGATAGTGAAAAAGCTCTAAGGCAGTGATTTTAGGAGATTCTTTTAATTATATTTAATAATTTAGTCTATTAGATGATTAAGTTGATGACTAGTAAGAAACACAGGCTTTACAACAATTTTTATCTCAGCAGCCAAATGATTCCAACTGACAGAAAAGCACATAATATTTATCCTGTTAGGTTTGCATCTTAAGCAGAATGTTCCCTGTAGCATATTCTTTAAAAGACAGATAGCACTGATATGTATTTGTTAGAATAAAAAAAGTAACACTGTTAGAATAGGTGGCAGGCAGTGTATTTTTAACTACTGTTAGTGCAAAAGCCTCTGGGAAGTGCATCTTACCGGTTCTTCTGCACTGCCTGCTGCATGATGGCAATAACTGATGAGACCAGGAATGGGCTGTTCACCTTTTGCCATAATAACTGCTGAACTGGTGTAGGATGGATGTTTCTAATGCACAACACATAACAGCTATGAATACAGTGACAGGAAAATATGAGACCAAACAAGCAAATGACTGAAAGGCAATGAGGTGAAAACAACTGTGATGCTGAAATGTCAAGCTCACATGAACACAGCCAGTTTAGATGTCAGACAATTTCTGTCTTTAAAATTGCATAAATTATTTTTCTTTGTCTATATTAAAAGAAAATAATGAATTTAAAAATTGCATGAATAAAAGCTGAGTTGCATTTGATAACTACCTTAATTTAGCCCTTTAAAGACATATACAAACAGGATTTTCTATAAAATGATGACCTCCAGCTGTAGCTGTCTTAGGAATCAGACCTGAGTTCACACTTCTGGAGTTAGAATGTTGCCACTTTGGTTTAGAAGTCCTTTATTAGCATTTTGAGTTACTTACATTTTCAGTTCCCATAGTCGGAATTTAAAGTACAGCGAGTAAAAATAGAGCAAATCAATTTGGAATAAATGAGTGTTATCCTTTTTCCTTTTGTAGTCTCCAATTCAAAATTTTGGTGTGAGTAACGCTGAAGTAACATTGATCTATAATTAGTAGTTACACTGAGGCTCTAGAGACAACATGATGACATTTAATTTGGATAGCTTATGACTTAACCTGCTACATAACTGTCATACTTTTTATGTTTTTAAAAACCAATACTGTCTTTACAAAATGGAAAATATGATTTAGGAGCAGCCTGTGCCTCCCGAATATGTCACTTGCCGGACACCGCACATTCAGGAGTATTTCTGATTGTTTTTTTCTTTTAAACCTAACACTAAACATATTCTGTCACATCAGAATGGTATCATTAAAATGCAACTTATAGTCAAAATAATAAACAACGCATCTTCCAATGAAATCTGTGATCATCTTCTGAAACATTCATATGTTCTTACACAGCTAAATTTCTATGAAATGCATCCAAAATATATCTGTTTGAGCACACCAACATAGACATTTAGTCTTAATGTGCAAATGAATATTGGTGGAAGGTACCCGAGCAAAGCTAAAGAGTATCTTGGAAACAATCCAGACTCACCTTAGCTGCAATGGCTGCTGCAGTTATATGTGAAGAGGAACTGTCCTCTGTTGATGCAACTCCACTATCCTTCTTCTCTTCCTCCTCTTCCTCACACTGTACTCCTTTGTCCTCTGTCTGCTTGTGAGGGCTGGTGGTTGGAGGAGGAGAAAGAGGAGGTGGTGGTGAAGGTAGATCTTCTAGCTCATCATGTACCTCCTTTACTTTTACAATGGCGTCCCGCAAAAGATCAATGGCATGAGGTAGGGCTGGCAGTATAAACTGAAAGCATTCCTATGCACAAGAAGAGAAATGACTATGAGTAGTTACCTGCAGAAGCAAAGAAGGATTTTTCAGATTTGCTTTTAGGGGATATTAGGGATTTTGATGTATCTTTTTACTTGATCATAAATAAAACGATCAGAATTACTTGATGTCCATTACCATTGCTCTTAGGAAAAAAAATAAAAATAAAAATAAAAATAAAAATAAAAATAAAAATAAAAATAAAAATAAAAATAAAAATAAAAAAAGAAATAACCAAAACCGCAACAACCAATCAGCCAAAAAACCCACCAGAGTTTCTGAGGACTCAGGAATATTTTTTTTTTCTCCTTTTCATGCAGATATAGTAAGCTGTACAATAGTCAAGAGTTAATACAATTAACCTAATACTAGATTAAAACTTAGGAAAACAAAAGTTAAAATTTTCATGAATACATAATACAGAAACACCTTCATGGCGGTTGGCAGTATACTACAGAAATGCAGAATAAAAACACTAACTCTATCTCTGCAAGGTTATTAGCTTCCAATAATTTCTACTGCACGCTTTCACAGTTTGAGAATGTTTTATAATGGTTGACATAACTGTACTTTTACATAACGCTATGGGTTCTTTTTATTCATGGATTTATAATTTGGGCTGGAAGAATCACAGGCAGTACTGATTATAACTTTAAGTAACTCAAAAAATTTACCTTCTGTGATATATTTTTCAAACCTCTCCTTGCTCTGTGACTTAAAACAATCAAAAAGTTTATTTTGTGCAGTCGGAGAAGAGAAAAAACACAGATGCCATGTAACCATTCTTGTTCTGCCAACAGGTGTACACATCTCTAGCTACCTTTAGCTATTTTACCAAATGAAAGAACCAGGTTGCAAGGAACCTCAGGAAGTCATTAAAATACTGAAAATACTAAAATTCAGACAGGTTACTTTGGGCTTTGTTCAGCTTATTCTTGAAAAAATCCAAGAACAGAGACTCCCCAACCTTTCTGGACAACCTGTTCTAATGACTGATTATCCTCATAGTGATTTTTTTCTTTATTTTCTTATCCAGTTGGAAGTTCCCCTTCTTCAATTTATGACTACTGTCTCTCTCTAAGGCACCTCAGAACAAAGGGTTTTCTTCATGTCAGATCCGCACACTGCATACATATATTCAATTACTGGAAAATGATGGCAAGGTCACAACAATGAATTTCCAAGGCAGTACAGTTAGAGAATGTACAAGTTGACAGAGGAAGCTCATACTATGCCTTTCATTCTTTTCATCTTTTGTTTCATTTCGACCATAAGGAAACTTCTCAACATGTAATACTGGAATTTAAAGTGCCCAGAAACTAAATAATGATAAATATTTTGTACACAGATACAGTAACAAGTATTTTCAATACATAAAAATGACTATGTAAAGAAACCATCCATCAGAGAATAGCAGAATTTATATGAGCCTTTATGTAAGTCAAAAAACATGACTCACAAACTCTATTTCCTCAAAGCCTCTAAATAAGAATCCATCTTTCAATCATACCTTTAAGAGTAATGAAAAGTCAGACTACTTCTCAGATTCATAAATTCTATAAATATTTGATTTGTTACTCTGAAGAACGCGACTGAGCAGATGAGCACGAATTGCTGCATTCAATGAATATATATTAAAAATCTATTTGTAAACATAATAAAGAAATACAATTTCTAATGTAACTATGAGGGTCAGAGTTATTGAAACTCCAGAGTATTACTATAAAAGTGGTTTAAAACATCGAGGTATACAACCATCCTTTCTTCAGTGAAGAAGCTGTTCTCAAGCAACTGGTAAACAAGGAGATCTGACTACAAATAATGAAAGCGTACGTTAATTATTAACTCATTAGCAAGCATACTGCCCATTCCTAATACTGAAATAAATCCTTGTTGACTGCTGACAAGTTAGTTCCCAACTATGCTATTTCGAACACTCATTGGTTTAGGCAATTGTTAGTACAGTTATGTAAATTGCCATAGACCCAAAGATTTCAGTGTGTATCTGGTAATTTCATTACTCTGCCTCCTCTGACAGTATTATATAGCTTTTTAAAGGCTGAAATGAAATGAAACAGACTAGAACAACACAAAAATTGAAGTAGTCTACAAATCTGTGTTCAGTGATACGTTCCTCATAAGTTCTCTAAGGAAAATATGTTTGGCATCACCTGCATTTTTCTTTTTGCTCACTACCACAGCAGCAAAGAATGCTTGAGATTCTAGCAGGCAACTGAGCACACAGAACTGCTCTGAAGTGAAACAGAAATGCCAAGATAGCATCTCCGATGACTGCAGTGACAATGCCACGGCTATAGCTACAAATGGAGAACTTCGAACACCAACATGGTTTCTTCTTTGGGTTACAAGGTTTTTTCCTCTCCATTGTGCTATACTAGTGTTACAGAAAATAAAGAGCCTACCAAAGTATTTATTTCAGTTAGCTACTAGAAGTGTAGGTAGGAATGGTTACATTGTTATGACACCAGTGGAGACATCTTGGATACCTTCTCTATGAGATAGTGCACTAGTCAAAAATGATTTATTTTACTTATTTGCAAGATTAGAACTTAAATCTGCAATTTAAAATTTGACTCTAAGGTCCTGTTCCAACAACATCAACTCCAGTACCAAACAGTCTGAGTTAAAAAGTCCCCTTTCACAGTGAGGCTTGGACTCCTTGGTAAGGCAAGTTTTTATTCTGGTGCTCTGATCAACCTTAAGTAAACAGTTATTAGCTTCAACTGAGTTTACTATCGTTGCCTTCTTTCATCTACTTCTATTGCAGTATTGGTTTTGACCTAAGAATACACAGCTCTCCTTTCCGAAGTGAAATCTGCACTCATAAAAAAGGAGAAAATACAGCAAGAGGGAGTTTTACACACTCAGTTCAAACTCCTCTTGCCTTCATTTCCTTCAATTTTGCATTGCGTCCATTTTTGACATGGACATTTACACTGCTGTCACGCTGTATTAAAATTTAGTATTTTATAATGAAATAAGCATACTGGTGCAATTTCATAGCTTTTATATAAGCTTCCTACCTGACTGTATTAATAAAATGGAAAGAATATTTGCAAGTCATAAAGGAGAAAAATGAGAGCAATGCCTGGTAACAATCTGCCCTATTTGGTTCCTGAGAACTCAACTGTTAAGGAAGCATTTTCTGCACTACGAATCTTAAAAGTCTTTGCTGAAATCTCATGTTTTGAAGATGTTTTATGTTTAAATAAATAAATAGTGACAGAACAGATGATCAACATAACACGATTAAATAAAGCTTATAGCAATCTTATATCTGAAAATCAAGTTGTTTTTTTTTTTTTTTTTAATTTCTGGCAGAATTACCTTTTTATTAATCACTTACATTTCAAAGTATTGCTAAAATACTTATTAACATATTTCATTTCTTTTCCTCATGCTCCTTACCTAACTTCACAGTCTGAGTGCCTCCAGGCAGGAAAACACGGAGACTTTTAGTTAACTTCTAATCACAGAATCACAGAATTGTAGGGGTTGGAAAGGCCTCCAGAGATCATCGAGTCCAACCCCCTGCCAAAGCAGGTTCCCTACAGCAGGTCGCACAGGTAGGCATCCAGGCAGGTCTTGAACATCTCCAGAGAAGGAGACTCCACCACCTCCCTGGGCAGCCTGTTCCAGTGCTCCGTCACCTCACTGTAAAGAAGTTCTTGCGCATGTTTGTGCGGAACTTCCTATGCTGCAGTTTCCAGCCGTTTCCCCTTGTCCTGTCTCCACTCACCACTGAAAAGAGTCCGGCCTCGCCATTCTGCCCCCCACACCTTAGATATTTATAGACCTGGATCAGGTCCCCTCTCAGTCTTCTTTTCTCAAGGCTGAACAGACCCAGTTCACTCAGCCTTTCTTCATAGGAGAGATGCTCCAGGCCCTTCACCATCTTCGTGGCCCTCCGCTGGACTCTTTCCAAGAGATCCCTGTCTTTTTTGTACTGGGGAGCCCAGAACTGGACGCAGTACTCCAGATGAGGTCTTACCAGGGCAGAGTAGAGGGGGAGGATCACCTCCCTCGACCTGCTGGCCACGCTCTTTTTAATGCACCCCAGGATGCCATTGGCCCTCTTGGCCACAAGGGCACACTGCTGGCTCATGGCCGACCAGGACACCCAGGTCCCTCTCTGCAGAGCTCCTCTCCAGCAGCTCATCCCCCAGCCTGCACCAGTGCATGCAATTATTCCTCCCTAAATAACAGTAGAATTGTTATTCAAAACTATAAAGGTCCGGAATATTTATTCCTGAAGAAAGTATTTCCTGACTAATCTCAGTGGAAAAAAACAGTTTCCAAAATATCTTGTAAGTACATCATATACACATCAACTCACGCTCAGTTTACAAAACTACTGTCCCCCTGTATACGACAAGTTCCCCTATAGATGACAAGAGGTGTCACATTTCACTTGTTGAATAGAATAAAGAATTGGTACTGCACTTTGTGATTTGCAAGACAAGATACAAATCAAAAGCCCATTTCATATCAATCTGTATTCCAGAACAGTGACACGAAGTTTTTATTCCCTGGGGGTTCGGTTACCTCAAGCTTGTCAGAAAACCTAAGTGAATACACTGCCCTAATGTGAGCGGACCGATCTGGAAGAAGTTGAACAAGTAAATCAAAGATTGTTTGATCACTAAGTTAATAAAAGCGATCTCAAGGCTGAGAATTATATCCTTCAGTAAAAGCAAGTCTGAAGCTAGGCTTCTAAACTTGAGGAAGTAGTTTGGCAACAAGCATCATAAACATGCATGCTGACATTTATTCTAAGAGTATTACGCCAGACTTCACTGTTGTGGGAATGGGTGATAATTAGGCAGTGAATCAGGTTTTACATTATCAGAATTCTCTCAGAGAAGAAAGATCACTACTACAGAGACTGCTGCAATTCAAGTGAACACTGCGACTTTTTCGTTATAATGATGACAGGCTTTTGAAAAGCTGGAGAATGGCTACGGATGTGGAAGGAATTGTGGCATTTTTTTGCATTGAGTTATCCAGGCCCTACTATGTCAGCTATGGTCTATACTCCACCATAGCCTCTGATCTCTTGCTGTGCACCATTGCCGTACCTTGACAGCAGGTCTATCACCCCCCTACCTTCCCTGACTTCTTGTATCACAAAGTACCTAATTCAATATCTTGACATGCACTATTAACTCATTCACCCTTACTCTCCCTCCAAATGGATAACACAATGACTGCCAGCACCTTGATGAAGATCCTCTGAACTGTCAAAAGAATAAAGAGCAGATTTTTGCACAGACACAAGATCTTGCTCAATATGAAACATCATAGTTCCTTTTGGACTACTACATGGCAGTGTATAAACAGGCAGCAGAAAAATCAAGACATATGAATAAGTTTTATTGAACAGTTGAGATGGCAGTGACTAGAACTATCATTTTTTATTTTAACTTAGTGATTTAAGGCCTTTTCCCCCTCAAAAGCAAAATTGTTTTCCACCTTTTATTCTACTTCTTTTTTTCCACCTTTTTTTCTATTTTTGCCATTCTTTTTTCCTTCATGCTAAAATATACTTAGTAGTACCTTGATTCCTCCTGGTATAGGGGAATGCTTTATGGTTACTAGTGGCAGCAAATATTCTTATTTCGTAATACAGAAAAGTTGCATCACAGTAATCCTAGAAAAGTGGCCAGGAAAGTACACAGAGGCTTGCTGCAGTGTTGGCAATCAAGGATCTGAAAATCAAGCACCTTCGCAAAAGGAGCCATCACTTAGATGAGAAGGAGGTGGTACTCTTCATGCAACTACACGAGACAACAGCGAGTTGCAGAGCCACTGCAAGAGAATGCCATGTGAGGACGGCATACCTGACATCAACTGTTAACTCCATTTAATCTGAGATTAGTAACCAGAAAGCAAAAGCAGCCATATACTCAAGAAATAAGTGTTTATATGGCAAAGCTATCTATTTTATCAGATGTTTAGCTTTACCTTACAGTTTTTTAAGGCATGAACTTTACTTTAAAATCCCATACACCAAGAATATGGGAAAAAAAGGGGTGATAAGTCCTTTGCATGCATTGAGAAAGTAAATCTTTCCCCCTTTCAAGCTAAAGCACATGTGTATATCAGGCACATTTGAATAGTCCGTCCTTCAGAAACGAAGAAATATAACATGAAGTCGATACTGACTGCTTTGAATTGTCACCTGCTTGTTTTTCTAATGTCTGATTTCTCATAGTCACAGTTTTTCAATGGTAACGTATAATAGTGGCACTAGTAAATAGTAATGATTGGATAGCAGAGAAAGAAATCTCAGAATGTAGCATATATACATCAATTAATATAAAGTCAGAAAATAAGTATGGATAAAAACATATATCCTAACTTCCTTGTCCAGATTGAGTTTAATGTAGGAAGAAAACAAACTGTAAAGGGTGTCAAGTCTGATATCCATATCCAAAATATTAAAATTTTTCATATTCTTAAAAATTATGCTCCATTTTCCCCTTGCTGACCAAAGCTGGAAATATTCTTAACTCCAGCAAGTTCTACAGTACACTAGGCCTTCCTCTTACTTCTGTGTGAAAAAGAGTGCTTTCCTGTAAGCAGTAGAAAACACAGGGATCAGTCACAGGCTGACTAGAAAACAAGAAGGAAATGTAAGAGACCATTAGAATCTTCATTAATGCTGCCTGCTATAGATAGCACTCTCTTGCTATCTGTTGCACAGTACTTTCAGTTACTTAAGAACTGTATTGTTCTGATCTAATCACAGGACTGACAGGGATGCTGCAATTGAAATATGCATTTCAATTAACTTTTGTAAAACTTGTAGTAGATACTTTCTACATTCAGGACTTATCATCAGCCTTCAGTAGCAGATCAGCAAGAATACTTCTTACCTGTGACCCTTTCTTGCTACCTGGCAGATTAATTATGAGAGTTTTCCCTCTGATTCCACATACAGGTCTGAAAAGAAAGAAAATCCACAGTGAAATTTTTGTAGGCAAATTTCTTCACTGTAGAAAGAAGAAAACATTAAAGATAAATCCTATAATTTAGTAGAATTTGTCAAATCAATCTTTATCACCTATATTTGCTGCTGGTTTTATCACAAAACAGCTCAGAAGATGGTGAAAAAGTGTTTGACAAGAGATGGAAAATTCTGACATTTAATTGATAGTGTAAGCACTACTTCTATCTTTTTCTAGCTTTGTTTAGCACTCTTAATTCTGTTGTTTACTTCTGTCAAATACATTCTTAGATACAGTTTCTATTTGCTCAAGCAAATAGTTCCCTTGTAATGTAATTGATGGCTATCAAACATTATTTCTCTTGATGGGTTAAAAAAACAAGTCATGCTGGTTGCGTTAATTCAAACATATATTCGTTCATTTATTTCTTTATTTATTAAGATTCAGCATAAGAAAAGCATAGTAGGAAGTAATTCTCAAGTGAAAATTACACTTAAGTAGTTCACATCTAATTCTTCCTCGGAGTCTCTTACTCCTTCAAAAAGAAGAAAACAACTACTGAAGATGTAACATTTTATGTTTTCAGGGATTTTCTTTGGTTTTAATGCAGTGCTGAACTTATACACCCATGTGTTGAAGGGGGTCCTCTTAAGCTTTCTGTCAGAGTTTAACTGTTCTTCCTTTTAGCTTTTTTTTTTTTCAAACAAAAAAACACACACAAGAAAAATCAACACTTCTAGATTTTGTCTGGAGGAAAAGTCATGTGGCTCCTGATTTTTTTCTTTGTTTATCAAAACAGTGATTAAAAAAACAGAGCTAAGATATAAAGCTAAGAAAAAAGTTAAGAGCAAAAACCAAACCACAATATGGAAGCTGCATGGAGAGAAACTGTGTAACAGTCTCTTTTTCAAAGAACATGAACCAAAGTGAAGACAGGAAAAAATATGTACATTGACAGGATATTACCAAATTCTTGAGCAGCTGACTTCCTTGGATTTTCTCTTAGATAAATAATTCCCAGTAGTTACTTCCATTTAGTGGTAGCATGGCATTTTCAAGCAAAGTAACAAGTATTCTAGTGACAGCTGTCCTAACACTCACAGTTAAATACTACAGAGACAGTTATTGTGCCACAAGATTAACCACTGATATTCTAGTCAAACCGACCAAAAGAGAAGTTTTATTTTCAACTGACAGCTTGAGTACTGCCTGACTCCAAGTCCCCATCTTCCTCCGCTCACTTCTTAAACATTACATGCCCTAAAAACTCCAGGTAGTTGACTAACATTCAATGACATATGAAGTGAAGAGCTTGAGTTAAAGAAAAATGCTCATTTACTATTGTTTTGGTAATCAAGCTGTAGTTTAAGACATTAAAATTAAGGGAAACTCCAGGAAATTTCCAGTGAAGAATTACAAAGATATGTAATGGCTCAAGACAGAAATGGGGTTGCCAAAAATTTCTCATGAGAGCATGTAAAATGTTACATTCTATGATTCTAAAAGTATGCTTAAATATTTAAGAACTGAATGGTTTGCAAAAAATAGTGCATGTTCACAACAAAAGCACACATGTACGTGCATTCAAGGTAATTTGAGAGAGAAGTTAATGATCTGCCTCAAAATGGGGAACAGGTAGATGCCATACATCTTACGTTATCCACAGCCTTTTGATACATCGCATAGAAATTTTTAAAAAAATACAGAGAAGTTGAGGAGAAAAAAGGAATACAATCAAGGGAGTTGAAGGAAAAACAGAATAAAAGAGACAGAAAAAACAGATGTTGGAAGACAATATAGATCCAATGCAGAAGTGGAAGAGAGGAACACTTTTCTGGGAATAAATTACGATTGTAAAAGCAGAATAAATGTGCAAAAAAGGCAGGGAGTACTTTATAAAGCCTCAGTAAGGACTGGAATGGCTTGGGTAAGGAATAAGATACTTCTGGCACAAGAACAGATGGAAGGTTACAGAGAAACAGGGAACACTGAAAGGTCTGTGATCCAACACACTCCCTGCTGGACCTCAGAGTTGGATCCCCATTATGTGCATCTCAGAGGCTTTTCATCTGTCATAAGTATCTGTGAACGTAGTTTACAAAATAATCCACCACTTTCTAATGCTGGTCCTGTGGTCAGGAAGAGAGCCAATAACTTCACTTATAAAAGTTCAAGTGATAAAATTCCAACAAGTGTTCAAGTGATCCAACATTTTCAGAACAGCATGTGATTTACGAAGGTGTCACCTTAATTTTGCAAAATGAAGTTGTGCATTTTTTCTTTTTTTGGTAAATTACATGCATAAGTAGCTGTAAGAGCTAAGTCAACGACATTCAAGCTTGGGATAGAAGAATTCACTAAAAATCTCCTTCACAGCACATATGCTTAACTTAATATTATGATCTGAATAGCGCTATGAAGATACTGACCCTTTGTAGGCCAATTACATTTAGACCTGAAGTAAAGGTTTTCATTGGAAATTTTTTACAGTTTTAACATGATTGCATGAGGTATCTTGACATAACATTTTCATTATAGATTCACAGAGGAGTTAGACAATGTTCCACCATTGTCTTCAATGACTATTTTGAGCTTGAGGTTAAGGAAAGGAAAAATAATACATTTATATTTATCAAGTTCTTTTGTTTGTTTGTTTTCTTTTTTGCATTTTAGTACTTGATGAACAACATACAGAAGAATTCTTCACTCCCACTGAAACGTCACAGCTCTAGGGTGAAAAGACAGCACATATCAATATTAGAAATAGCTTAGCACAGAAAATACATAAAGATGCTGCGTTTAAGAGAGACTACAGAGGGAATTAAATAAAAGAATGCAATTACCATTGTTGGAATTTGACCACTTCTCTAAAGTTAAGACTTCTAGTCCTGATAACATCTGCAATCTTCAATTATTTTTATATGGTCATCCCATCCCACTATCTTGTATATTTCTAAGGAAATAGTTTGCTTCATATTCTGAAGGAAATAGTCTTACCTAGAGAGCATGCCCAGAGGAGTTACATTAAGTGATCCCATCAGCATTGCAAGGGCCATCCCCGGGGCTTCTCGCTCTATTACTTCTTTAGTGGCCTGCAACCAAAGATTAAATAGCAAAGTGAGTGAAAAATAACAAGGACTAGAAAAATGTTAAATAAACTTAAATTTGGGTAGGAAAATCTTTTTTTGTTTGCTTCAGAGCCAAAAGATGTCCTTGATAAACTCTCAGCACTGGAATATGTTGAAGGATTTTCTCTTGGTTGTGTAAAATAGGGAAAGACAAGGGGGTGGGAAGAAGCACTGTTAGCTGTATTTATTGTGAGGACACCTACAGAAAATTTTAAAAGTCAAGACCCTATATATGGAGGAAATACTAATACTAATAATGTTTATATGGAAGACCATATAAACAACAACTCCCTCTCGCAGAAAGGAAAGAATATTTGTGAATAAGCAAAGAGTAGAATGTATATAATGATTTGTTCTTTCTCCCCAATCTGTCACATTTTCCAAGTGAGATTTCCCAAGGTTTAAGAAGGGCAAATAGGTTTGTGCAGAAAACAAAACAAAAAAATTGCAAAGGGAAACCCATGTAGCAGGAAAGCAAGAAAACAGTAAAATGGTAAAATGATAATGGCCAGAGGCTGACGTCTTCCCATTTGATCATGTCAGCAAAACAGCGATTCCAAACAAGCTGGTGGCTTTTATTCACAAGCAGTTTCTATGCTGTGGGCACTGAGAAGCCTGGAAGCAGAGTCTGAAAATACTTCTGTGTTAAGTCCTTTTGTTATACAGGGTATCGGCTGTGAAATGATTTTCCAGGAATATTCACAAACTTCTGTCTTTCCTTTCTAACACAAACTTTCTTAAATGCCCAACTTGCTCTGGTTTCCGAGCCTCCAACTTGTTTTTGGGCAAAACACCTCAAAGGAAGGTTACAATCCTACCCTCCTTCCATTTCTCTCACCGTGGTTGCTTTTCATTGGAACACCTTGATTCCCGTTATGATTCAAGATTCTACATTGCTTGTCACAACTAAAACATTTGCAATGCTCATAAAACTATGAAATCCACTGTAAAACATCCAGTCAAAGTACTGTGCTTTAATGGCACAGCTACCAAGACTGAAAAGCAATGTCTTAAATGTGAGGATACACTGAATAACCTAAATACTCTCAGCAGTTTGATACACTAAAGAATATAATGGAAGAAATCCAGACAAATGATTCTGTGGGAAAGATTACATTACAACTCAGTTCCTAATACTTTTATAAGCTCCCAGTTTACAAAACAATGCCATAAAGAAGGAAAACACAGCTTAAAAGTTTTTTCAATAGCATTCCTATGAGAAGGATCCAGTAATCCAGGTATGTCCAAGCCATGGTTCAGTTTTGGTCACCCTGCCCTGCACTGCCCAGTACTGGGTGCATACCCATTGCTCACAACAGTCAAGCCATCAGTGTGCTATTAACTCTGTCTGAGCTAAAATCAGGGCACAAGGAGGGCACAGTGAAGTGCTAATTCAAGTTATGGGAAATAAATCTATGCATTTTGATACACTGGTTAACCACAGTCCTGCGAACAGCAAAAAAAAATATGCAGCTGTGTTTTCTATTTTGATAAAGAAATTTAGAGTTTCTTTAGAAACTCTAAAAATTTATATTATTTATTAATCTAGAAATTTAGAGTTTAGCTTTAAGAGTGCTGAAAAAAAAAGTTTTGGTTTTTTTTTTTTTGCATATTTGTAATTCTGTTTTCAATTGCCATAAATAAGTTACCTGCAAATTTTCAAATGGAACATATTGAGTTGAGATCACATATGCAACTCAAAGAAAAATGTGATTGTGTTTATTATGAGCCCTATATTATCAGAGAAAAAAATCCCTCCCTTCACAGTTACACCTTATTCATGTCATCACTTTTGACTGTACATACATTAGTGAACAACTGTTTTCAAGGATGAAGGACAGGAGGAGAAAATTTCATAAAAATCTCTGATGAGATCTTGAGAACTCAGTAAGAATTGCAGCCACTTCCATAGAACATTTGTTGCAAATTTGATGCATTTGTTTTACAAAATCACAGTCAAATATCCTACTAGATTTGTTTTTCTTCTTCGATTTGAATAAAAAAATACTAAAGAGTATAAAAAAATTGTTACTTATACAGAGGAACTATAATATATTTATGAAGGAAACCATGAAAATAATGCCTTCTATTTTATGATGTCAGCCTACAATGTCAGAGGTAGATGTTGGTAGTATGGCAGTAGAGATTGAAACTTCCCACCAATATTCCATTACGTTCTGTTGCTGTGTTACAGATGGCAGCAGATGGGCAATCTGACAACAGGGCATCTGACATGAAAGAGCTATGAAGCAAAGATGTGGCCCTTAATTCCTCCACGGGGAAAAAAATTGCACTCACTGGCATTCATTGATGCTTGCTGAATGTTTATGGAGACCAAACAGTGGATGTGAGCACAGTGCAGCGCTGGGTGGTGCATTTCAGCAGTGATGACCCTAACAGTGGGTCACTTCTGTTGTTGCAGATTTTGAGAAGCAGAACATGCAGGCCCTTGTTCACAAATGCATAGCTAAGGATAATGACCCCATTGAAAAATAGCATTATGTAGCTGAGAATGAGCTTTATTAAACAGTGTTGTTGTGCTCTTTGTATCCGCTGTAGTTTCCATGAAAATAAATAGGAGGCATTACTTTCAGAGCAACCGATATCTGTGCAACCCAAAACAATTCCTCTTCATCCAGTGTGGCCCAGGAAAGCCAAAAGGTCAGACATCCATGCCAGTAGTCACACAGCAAGAACACTTGACAGGAAGAAACACATGTATCAGAAAAACGAAAACAAAAAACCAGTGCAAGTATTCCACTGGCCCTTCTCAAATATTACCACTAACATTTAATGTGTTTTAGAGAAATGTGTCAGTATCAGAAGGCATCAGACACAACTACCAAGTAAATCATCAGGTATTTTACCAAAAAGCAAACTTGGTATGTGCTACTGTGGGAAACAGGAACCTTGGTTTATACAAAATCAAACAGTTTCAATTCAGTAGCTAATAGGACAGTCTATGATTTCCAGCAAATCTACTCAATGGTATGGGCAAAATTAAAATATCTGCATTGAGGAAGAATGCCAAAAGGTACCCGCTGAGGTATTAAATTAGCAATTACACATTAAAAATTCTGAAGAAAGATGGTCTGCAGTGCAGCAGGGACATTTTGCTGACAATGAAAAACTTGGTGAAACACGGAAGTCTCTGTGTGTTCATACACAGTAAGTATATGCTATGCCTTTTATTTTCAGCTAATGCCATGCTTCAAAGATATTCAAAACTAGTTTTAAATATAAAGTGCATTTTGAGATTTCTTTTCTGCCCTTGAGCACAGTGACACTTTGAAGATATCATTAGTTAAAATTCTAAATAGGCTTCAGAGGTAGTACAAGATGCAAAAGAGTTCCACAAACAATGACCCTGCAGCTCTGGGAGTCCTTCAATGAAATTCAAGTCCATTCTCTAACTTCACAAGAAAAATGACCTTCACAAAATGTCACTGCTAGCAGCCAATGTGATTATTAAAAATGTATAAACATTTTGCAGTAGCAAAATCTGAAAGGGCAGAAAGTCCAAGTAGCAGTACAGCCCTCAACACAAGTTTCTAAAAATACTTGTTTCAAAATATGTATGCTTGCATTCATTTCTGCAGGCAGACTGCTACAGACAGGGGAATGCTTCCTACAGTCTAACTGGACAGATGTAACCAAAATGGCTGCTGCTAAGTAAACATCTTTTACAGTGACATCTGCTCTAGGGATATCCTTAAATAAGCTTTATTTAAATAGCTTTATTTAAATGTGTGGCATACAGAAGATGGACTCACCATCACACCAGGAAGCCTATTCTGGCTTACATGAAACTATGGCTTACATGAAACTGGCTTACATGAAACTATGAATGAAATTAAGGATGCTGCAGTGATTTACAGATAGTTTGTATCTATCTGTAAGTTATCTATTAGTTTCACCTAAAAGTATACTGAAGTGCTGTTGGACAAGTTTTCTAAAACATCTTTCAAGACAGAAGGAAGTGTGGAAGAGAGATGTGTGGAAGTCCACACTGCCTGCATCCCACTGGGGAGTTACAGCCTGGCACCAGTGCGCAGAGGCAGCCTGTTTAACAGTGACCCAGCTCTTCTATGTTTTACCAATACTATAGCAAGGTTGAGTTAAGATCGTAAAAACTTTGCTTCATGGGCAATTTCAAATGCCTTTAATGATACTTATAAAGAAAATCATCAGGTAAGCACTTAGCTTATTGAAGCCAAGACCTTATAGCACAACTCAGTTTTCTTCAGTCACTTGATAGGATTAGAGGATGACTGGGCAAGACATGTCCTGAGCGTACTAACAGAAAAAATAACATATATGTTACAGTAACGGACAAAACTGAAGCATTCTAATGTAAACGTAATCAGATGTTTTCAGGGTGTGACAGACTTACCAACAGATATTGTTTCAAGTCACAATATCTGATGGTTTTCAAACATGTAACAATTCATGACTTTTCCCTGTTTGACATGAAACTCAGAAATCTGTAAAAGAAAATACTGCAACAGAGCTGTTGGTAGCCTCACCACCAGTCAGCCCTTGCCTGCTGCACGGAGCCACGGCACTGGCACCTTCTCCTCTAGAGAGCACAGTGAGGGCTAGGGAATGAAGTGAGTAGGATGGAAATAAGGCTGCACAAGGTACCAGGGGCATAAGGGGAAAACTTGTAAGGAGGAAAATGGAAAACAGAATTCTGTACAGCTGTCAGACTGGGGGGGAACCAGGGAAAGAGAGAATGGGACTTGAAGAAATGAAGTTTCTGCTCCTGACAGAAGTGGCATTAACAATTAAATAATTATTTTGAACTACCACTTTTCAGCATTCAGTAACAACGTCAATGAGAACATTTCTATCTCACTGCTATATGAATAAATCCAAATACTCTGAAACATGTTTTTGATAGTATTCAATGTGTCTTTTTATTGGAGTTAGAGCATTATGCTCCCAAACCAACTGATATATTT